GGCAGCCTCAGAGGCACTGGGCACTCCCGGCACCATGGATGACGCTGCCGTCCTCAAGCGACGAGGATACATCATGGGGATAAATTTGGGAGAGGGCTCATACGCAAAAGTCAAATCCGCTTACTCTGAGCGCCTAAAGTTCAACGTGGCGGTCAAGATCATCGACCGCAAGAAAGCCCCCACAGACTTCCTGGAGAAATTCCTTCCCAGGGAAATTGAGATTCTGGCCATGCTAAACCACCGCTCCATCGTCAAGACCTACGAGATCTTTGAGACATCAGACGGCAAGGTCTACATCGTAATGGAGCTCGGGGTCCAAGGAGACCTCCTTGAATTCATAAAAACCCGGGGAGCCCTGCAAGAGGATGATGCTCGTAAGAAGTTCCACCAGTTGTCCTCGGCCATCAAGTACTGCCATGACCTGGATGTCGTCCACAGAGACCTCAAGTGCGAGAACCTTCTCCTTGACAAGGACTTCAACATCAAGCTGTCTGACTTTGGCTTCTCCAAGCGCTGCCTGCGGGACGAAAGTGGCCGACTGATATTAAGCAAGACCTTCTGTGGGTCAGCAGCATATGCAGCCCCCGAGGTGCTGCAGGGCATCCCCTACCAACCCAAAGTGTATGACATCTGGAGCCTTGGCGTGATCCTCTACATCATGGTCTGTGGCTCCATGCCCTACGATGACTCCAATATCAAGAAAATGCTGCGCATTCAGAAGGAGCACCGTGTCAACTTCCCACGCTCCAAGCACCTAACAGGAGAATGTAAGGACCTCATCTACCGCATGCTACAGCCGGATGTTAACCGGCGGCTGCACATTGATGAGATCCTCAGCCACTGCTGGGTGCAACCCAAGGCACGGGGTCTATCCTCTGCAGCCATCAAGGAGGGGGAGAGCTCCCGGAGCATTGACCCGCAATGGACCCCTGAACCTGGCTCTGACAAGAAGTCCGCCACCAAGCTGGAGCCTCGGGAAGAGGCTCGAGCTGAGGCACGACATGAGACACGGCCTGAGACAAAACCTGAGGAGGATACAGTGCAAGTGGCCAGGCAATCAGAGACCCTGGGCTTCAGCAGTGAGCAGATGATCAGGGAATCAGAGGAAGGGCCTCCCCAACAGCCTCCAGAGACACACACCTAGTGAGCCTCTTGCAGCCCAGGGGGCTGGCAGGGAATGAGGCAGAGCTCATGGCTTGAAGCCTGAGCCCAGAAGGAGTCAAGGGATGAGCAGAGAAGGAAGACAGTCCCGGATGAGCCGCTATTTTCGTCAGTTTCTTCTCCCACCCTTTGAACTTGGTAACTAACATGGCTAAAGAAGCAATAAATCACTATATTAGTGCAGACCCCGAGGTGAATGTCTTTGCCCCACTGACTGCAGTCCTGGGTGCCCCCTGGCTTCCCACTCAGATTATGAATTCTCACTCCTGGAAAAATATATCCCAGTGTGCCCAGCTCAGACTGTGACCTTAGGACCTGGCTAAGGCAGCTTTTCCAGGTGTTGGGGAGACCTGGAGGGGCATGGGTCAGAGCAGAGAGTTGAATGAGGAAGATATTGCTTCCAAAGGAAGGTCTATGAGTGCTGATTAGGGGTAGGAAAGGGTAGAAGGCTGAGAAAGGCAACACAGTTGCCTGCAAAGGAAGGGTGGGAGGCCAGGGCCTCTCATACTGGGATAGCTGGCTCTCTGCATTTGAAGCTGAGTTCTAGACTGATATGCCACCATCACCCCTTGGCATGTATTACATAAGCTTTCCAGTCAGTGAGGGTTGGGGGAGAGACTGCAGAGGGAAGGACAACTGTTTTTTTTTTTCTGTTCTGTCCACCATGGGACATGTTCCCCCCATGTCCAACTGGCACCCAATTCTCAACAGTGCCCTGTGTTATATCCCCACCATGGTCATTCTTCAGCCCAGGAGAAGTGAGAGACTCAGCTGGATGGCCCAGCATGTTCCACAGTCCTGTGTGGCCTTGACCACATCCCTTCCCCAGCCTGATGCCAGGGGTGGCATTCCTTCCAGAGGTAAGAAGCTGACACTAGCAAATAGAATAGATATCCTCACAAAGAATGCCGGGACCCTGTGGACAAAGAAGGCAGGTACCAGTATCCCATGAGGGGTATGGCCTGCACTTGGCACTACTGATTGCCATGTGCTGCATCCCTACTTGTGCCTTGTCCCAGGCAATCCTCACTTGGCCACAGTGGCCCTTCTCTTCACCTCACATTGGATAACCTCGTGGGGGGTGGTGCTAAGGGCTTAGTACACATACACAAAAACAAGAGCATTTAAAATCACTCCTCCATCTGTATCCCAAACTTGGAAACACCCCAACTCCCAAGACTCTGGGAAAAGGTGAGGTCTAGTGAGATCCCAGCATCCCTTCCAACATTCAATTTACTTTCCTCCCTGGCTTCTCCCTCACCCCATAGCCCCTTCCCCTCCCATCACCTCCCACAGGAACCCCCTTCCTACACCCAGTCTGGCCCCTACCACCCACAGGATGGATTCAAGTACCTAACCTCTTAGGTCTTCTCAGGCTTGGCCTTCTCCTTTTTTTAAATTTATTTTTTAGGTGTAGATGGACACAGCACAATACCTTTTATTTTTATGTGGTGCTGAGGATCGAACCCTGGCCCCACCTATGCTAGACAGGTGCTCTACTCCAGAGCCACAATCCCAGCCCTGGCCTCCTTTAGACCCATCCTTTCTCTGCTGGCCTCCTAGAGATGACCCAGACCCCCATACCTCCATCACACACTAGTGCCATAATTACTAGTAGACTTGCCCCTGCAGACTCTGCCCATCTCCCCAGTCTTAGCCAAGGGGGCTTGGCCTCCACAAAACCTTTTTGGGATTCCTACTGGTGCTCTGCATCCTGTTCCTGTGAACTCTGCCAGAGAAGCCTCTGAGTACCCAGGACCTGGGCACAGAACAGTCCTCAGTAATACCAGAAGGCCTCCCAGCATCTTTCCCATGAATAAGCTAGTGTTGGAATGGTATCCCAGGGCACATGATGCTATCTGGGTGGGGAGGTGAAAAATGGCTCATCCCTGCAGGTCTTCCATAGTCCTCAGGACAGAGGAGAGTAAGAGGGCCTAGGAGTGACTCACTGCAGCCCAACCCAGCCAGAAGGCATCCTGGGCAGGGGGGGCTTTAGGCGTACCTGCTGTGTGCTTTACAGGTGTGAAAATAGCTCAGAAAGGATTGGCAACCTACCTGAAAGCACAGTACCAGAGCAGCAGGCCCAGGTAACAATAGCTTCCACAGATAGCCTCATCCTTTTGGACAGTTTTTCTGGTGTGTTTGACCCTGGATTGATCACCTTCATCCTCAGAAGCTTTAGGACCAGGACTTCAAAGTGGTTCCCTGGTCATTTATGTCCTCATCATGAGGTGACCCTCAGGCCATTATAGGCATTACCTACCAGTGGTTCTCTTCCACCTGGCTAGTTACCCAGACCTCAGCCTTCTTAAATTTAATCTCCAATTCTCTGTCTTCACAGCTCCAGGGTGCCATGTCAGGACACAACCACCATCATGCATTCACACTGGTGGGTATGACATCTAGCTTCCCTGACCTCTGGAATCCAGGAAGGCATGAGTGCCTCTAGTTCACTAGTGTCCCTCAGCACCAAAAACAGACTCTCACAAGCTTGTGGGAAGAATGGGTCAGTGGGGATCTAATTTATTTAAGAAAGTGAAACTCAGAGGACTATAGATTTCCCAGAATGTGCAGGTCCCCAGCCACACTAGATATAACCCTAAAGGTCTCCAGTCAGATCTAACCTACTCCAAATATACTAGGTGCCCTAGCCTCGTGACAAAAACACCCAGGACAAAACCACCCACTACATGTTTCAGCAGCTCTGCTTGTGCCAAGTTGATGCTTGCTTCCTACAGCATGTCCCCGAAGAAACAGAGAAACCACACTATCCTGGGCAAGGGCAGGGTTGAGAGAGCAACATCCATGAAAGAAAGAAAGAGAGAGAGAGAGAGAGAGAGAGAGAGAGAGAG